TATCCACATTAAATGAACTTGTGTGTGAGGACAAAATGTGTCCAAACAGTAAAATGGGAGCTACTCCAAACTGATCAATTCAAATGAAACAAAGAAAAAAAAAAAAAAAAAAGGGAAAATAATCCCCTAAATTAAATAAATCCAAGGAAGGCCCTTTTAAAGCACAAAAGGTGGAACCCTAGTCTAGGAGAAGTCAGTGGCAACATTTACATTGACTTTAAAAGAGAGGCATTGCTTACTCTAATGTGTAAAACCACACAGTGCTGCTGTGCATAGCATGGTACAAAATACATGTGCTGAGTTTCACACACAGCATGCAGGGAATATGTTGATAAATGCAGGATGAGGAACAGGCAGACTAACAGACAGACTTGGTTATATTTTAATCTGGTTTACTGTTACTGCAGGTGTTACAGTTAAAATGTTCTAAAAAGTTACTATATACTTTTAATTCTAAACAGTTCCTGGAAGGACAGATAGAAACTAATAGAAAAGCAAACATACTCCTTTAAAGGTTTCCTTATTAAAAAAAATTAAAAGGAGGGGACAAAAGTATGTCTGAAGCACAAAGATGACATCAGAAAAGTTCCTCAATTCACAGATGGCTGTACCTTTCAAAAAAAATTTAAACAGGAACCCTAGATTGATTTAATCACCCATACAAGCGAAAAAACGTAATAAAGATATTTAGTGCCAAATTGGTTTCTTGGGACCTTTTCTATGTAAATAATACAAATCAAACCTTGAAGTTCAGTGCAGATATGATCTGACAAGTAAGCCAGGCTTTTTTTTTTCCTTTGATCCAGCTCCAGAAATATTTTATCCAAGGTAAAGTTGGTTTTAAGTGTTTTCCATGTCAGTTTTTAATTTTGAATATTCATCATCTAGGAAACTTGCTTATAATGCTTCAAACACCAGTCAGGCTGCAATGACTTACAGCAGGAAACCTAAAGATTTCCTTGTATTTGCTCCTAAGAGGGGGAATATCAAGAACTCCCAACATGACACGGGATCAATTTCCATCACTCGCTTATTTTTAAGGGTACAGGAAACATTGACAACTCCAGCTGAATATTTGCAAATATCAAGACAAGCCAACTCCAGTATTCTTTATACTGTTCCACTTCTTCTAGATGTGTTGGGGAATAATACTCATGAAGATAGTAAGATAGACAGGCCTTTGCTTTCTAAGTGATTCCCCAAATTCCCCACATACTGCCATTTCTTCAGGATGCCATCTGGAAGCAACAGTGTCTTCTCTTGTAAGAAAATCTTCATGTGTTAGGTATATCCTTTTTTTTAAACGTCTCTGATTCTGTTAAAAATAAAAGTTAAAAAAGTCTTTTTCTATTCCATTTTCACATCAGGATGAATATCTGTAGTCTAGAAATATATACATATTGTTCATATATCTGCAGTCCAGAAATATATACATGTATATATGTATATATATATATAAACCTGACCTTGTTCACAGTTTCCAGTGTTGTGTGCCTAAAAACAGATTTAGGCACCTTGCTGTAGGAACACAGTTTTCAAAAATTCAGCTCTTGTCAATAATGTAAAATCCTGTGGATTCTCTTCCTTCCACAAATTGGTATGTAGTATATTTAGAATTAACAGGGCCCATTTTCTCTTTTGACTAGAATATGTGGTGTAAGGTTAATGAAAATAAGATAGATGTTTTATTTTGGGTCTTACATATAATATTATTAAATGTGCCCACCAGAAATGTAGGATAAAGTATTTGCTCTGCTTGAAGATTATGTGATATTTGTATTCTGAGCCTCACCACAGTGGGTTTCTTTAAATAGAAGCTATACTTTACTCCTAAATTGCTTAAGGCAAAGGAAGCAGAGATGATGTTTTTATGAATGTTTAAATGCAAATGGAACTGAGAGTGAATGCTATGCTAGCTAACATCAAAGGCTCACCAAAGTCTCTGCATTAATGAGGCTCTTTGTTTCCTGGATCACAGATTACAACAGGTTTCCAACTCATTGCCAAGGCTTTATCTCCATTTGGGAGGGCTGTAAATCTCAGACAATTTTTTTTCACATGCAAAACCAGAGGATCATCTGAAAGAAGAAGGAAAAAAAATCATAAAGTAGCAAATATTTCATTCAAATTATTATTCCTCAAAGTGGCTGCAGCTTGTTTTATTTTGGGGATGTTTAAAAGAATGGAAATTTGATGACAGAGTTTCCTATGGGGCAGTTCATTCATTTGGAGGAGAAAAGTGAGCAGGAAAAAAGAAAACAGCATCCTTCCCCTCCTCCATCTTCTGCAGCCCAGCATCAACTGTACCCCAAAATCAGAACAATAATTCTATGTCATGCAAAATCAGCAATTAGCAGAAAGACAGATTTTGCTCCATTTAAATATATTCAAGTACTTTTCAAAGTGGCTCCAACTAGTTCTTCTCCTCCCCAAAAAGTAATGAGATTATATCCCTAGTAATAATACCCTAATTAACAAGAAAAATAGGGAGACCAAGATTTTTAGCTTCCTATTCAAGGGCTGAATGTGACAATATGTTGTATATTGGGTCATAAAAAACAATTTACATGGCGTCATTACAGTCTGTAGCAAAGCCTCCAGGACCCAGGGCTATCTAATGCAATCTTAATTAAGGAAAATGAATATCGTTGTGTTGTTTTAAGCTTCTGAAGACATGCACAGGACCTGTCGTGTGTGATCAGAAGAGATGAGGAGTTTCCTTTTCCATGGGAACTGCTTAAAAAACCCTCTGACGCCGACACACAAGTGTCTAGTGCCTTCGAAATGGGCTGTGAAGATGGTAATTTCTTGTTTCCTGACCCTCGGGGCCAGGCAGGAAAACTAATAATTTTCTGCCAGCCCACGTCACGTCTGGGCTCCAAAGGGGCTGAGGGCACGATGGCGGGAGCACCGCCTGTGTCCAGGGTGCGCACAGCGGGTGGCCAGTGGCACCCACATGTGACACGGGTGTGTCTGCACCCACAGCTGGGAATGGGCAGCTGGGGTGTGTGTGTGTGGGTACACGTGTGTTGCGTGTGCCTGTGCTCAGACATATGTGCCCGGATGTGACTCAGCGTGTGTGTGCATGTGTGTGTTCATGTCTGTCTTTCTGTGCATACATACGAGTCCTGATGTGTGTTTGTACACACATCCTGATGAGTTTCAGTGCACACATATACGTGCTGAGGTGTGTCTGTGTGCACACATACACATCCTGATGTCTTACTGTATACCCATGTATATGTGTTCATGCATGTCTCTCTGTGCACACATACATGTCCTGATGTCTCAGTGTGTATACATACGAGCTGATGTGTTCTCATGTGAGTGCACACCCCTAGGAGCTGACATGTCTGTGTGCACACACATGGGTTGATGTGTGTCAGCAGTACCATGCATGGCCTTCTGTCCTCTATGTTTAGTCATGTGATGCTGATCTGTGCTTGTAAATTCACAGATGAATGTGATGTGTTTGTGTGTGCAGATGTGTGTGTACAGATGTTTGTGTTTGCCAGATGTGTACCTGTGCATGCCGATGTGTGCAGTTACGTGTTCTTTTGTGCTGATGTATCTGGGGCTGTGTGTGGATCGCACTGCTGTGTGCTGCTATGTGAGTGCTCATGTGTGCCAGATGTGCAGCTGTGCGTGCTGTGTGTGTACACAGGTGTGTGTGCAGCAATACGCCTGTAGAGACGTGTGGGGCCGTGCAGACCGTGATACATGCTGATGTGTGTGCATACACACGTATGTGTAGATGTGAGATGTGCACGTGCAGCTGTGCGCATGTGAGTAAGCACTGACGTGCAGCTGCACGCTCAGCTCTGGGCATGCAGGAGTGGGTGCAGGTGAGCTTGTGCCACGGTGCGGGTGCACAGAAGTGTGTGCAGGAATGTGGATGGGCACAGATGTGCACGGAGCGTGTGCGTGTGTGCTCACATGTGTGTACAAGCATGTCCATGTGTGCAGGCATGTGTGCACACAGGTGGGCACAGGTGCGTGTGCAGATGTGCGAGCAGAGATGCGTGTGCATACCCGTGTGTGTCACAGATGTGCACACACACCCGGGCCTGCACCAAGCCCCCGGTGCTGCCCACTCTCGGGCCACTCCGCATCCCCGCAGCCCTCCACCGGGAAGGGGTCACCCCGCCATACCGCGATCGGGAGGACGGCGTCGGGCTGGCTGTGCCCTTAATGCTGGGACTTGGCGTCGCAGCGTGTATGCGGTGTATGCGTGAGTGTCAGTGTGCGTATCCGCGTGTGTCTCTGTGCGGTCATACGCGTGTGCATGCCTCTGTTTGTGTCTATGTGTCCGTGTGTGCGTGTATGCCTGTGTGTGCCCGCCCCCGGCCCCGCCCCGTCGCTGCCAATCACCCGGCGGCCGCTTTGATGTCGCTGCGCTCGCCCGCCGCGCCGCCGCGCTCGCAGTCGGACCGGGCGCTCCGTGCTCCGCCAGCCGCCGGCGCCCGCTGCTCCAGCCAAACTTCCTGGGGCTCGGAGGGCGGGGGGGCGGCGGCGGCACGGGGGGGCCCGTGGAGGCCGGCATCCCGCGACGCCTGCCCGCCCGCAGCCTGCCGAGCCCCCCGCGAGCCGCCGGAGCGGGGAGGAAAGAAGGAGGGGGGGGGGCAAAGAAAAGAGTGACGAGGGAAAAACAATTCTAATTTTTTTTTTAAGGGAAGGATTTAAAGGAAATTTGGAAAGGGGGAACGAAATCAAAGGGGAAAAAAAGTTTAAAAGTTAGAAGGAAAGGAGGAAAAAAACTTAAAAAGAAAAAATTCAAGAGGGAGCTTTTTTTATATTTTATTTTTTTTAAGAGGAGGGGAAAAAATTGACGGAGGGAAAAAATAATAATTGCGAAGGGCTTAGTCCGGGAGAACAATACTCGCCGGGAAAGTTGCTGCGCGGCGGGGAGGGAGCGGCGGGAGGAAAATGCCGCAGCTGGGCAGCGGCGGCGGGGACGACCTGGGCGCCACGGACGAGATGCTGGCCTTCAAGGACGAGGGCGAGCAGGAGGAGAAGATCCCTGAGAACGCCTTCACCGAGCGCGACCTGGCCGACCTCAAGTCCTCGCTGGTGAACGAATCCGAAGGCAGCGGCAGCCCGGCCGCCGCCGCCGCCGCCGATCCCGAGGTGAGCCGGGCCGGGCCGGCCCCAAACGGCGGCTCCGCGCCACCCGCCCCGCCGCGGCCCCCGCCCCACGCCCCCACGCTGCCCCTCTCTCTTCTCCCCGTGCAGGCCCTCCGGCGAGTGCAGGATCCGCAGAGGGTGTACCAGGAGAAGCTCCCGGACCACATGGATGATGGTTAGTCACAGCAACCTCCTCGTGTTCTATGTCCTCCTCTCCCCATTCCCGGTTCCCGGTGGTCTTCCCCAGTGCGCCCCCGTCTAGTGCTCGACCCCCCCGTTCCCCAAACCATCACCCTGACACCCCTGGGAGTGAGGGATGCCAGCCTGGTCACCACAGCCTCCAGCGGGAAAGCCACTCGTGACAGCACCGAGGCTTCCCAGTGTCCCCACTGTGGGAGTCTACACTCATGGGGGACCCTGGCACTCCCCAACACCTTCTCTGAGGAGTATGGGACAAAAAGACTCCCACAACATGCTGTAACCTCTTTGGGGACCACTTACAGGAAGAGGAGTCACCTGTCATAGGACGAATTTTGACAGGGAGCATTGATTTCAGCAGGTATGAAACATCAGGACCCTGGAATGTATAAAGGATCTGCCTATTCTGGTTACCCTTTCCTGATGCTCTCAGATCCGTATCTGCCCAATGGATCTATGTCACCTCTGGTGAGTTTCTCCTCTCCTTATGGAGAAGTTTTGTGGCCTCTCTCACTGCTGAAGTATGCTGCAGGTGTTGTGCTGGCATCTACATGTGCTTTTTTCCTGACAAATCGGAGCCCAGTTTCTGAAATACCTGGACACTGCTCTGTCCAAGCCGAAAAGAGAAGCAGTGTGGGGAAGGGGGAGAGATGCTGGGAAAGGGGAGAGAAGCTCGGCAGGAAGCGCCTGCTTCGCTCTGAATTTGCTGGAGGAGCTGCTTTTCCAGTCTCCTCATCCTCTGGGATTGGCTTTACTCTTCCAGCAGTCAAATCCTAATATCTCGTAGAAGAATGTCTCTTCCTTTTTCTGGGTCACAGGCTTTGGAAGGAGCAGTTCCTGGTCTTTGTGTTTGTGTTCAGGGATATGTCCTGCAGCCGAGTTTGAGTGCCTGTAAAAGAGCCGGCTTCTGGCATGCTATGTGTTAGGGCTCTGTTGTGGATGATGGCCTGGAAAATGGCTCTTGTGCTTCTAAAATGGCAATAGAGGTTTTTAGGAAAAGGCTTTGTGCTGCTGGAGGACTATTCCCATCTTCTTCCTGTAAAGTTTTTCCCTCTCAGTTTAAATCAGCTGTAGTAATTTGTATGTTCTTATGTTTCTGAGTGTTGCTATCTGAGTGATTAAACTAAAATCTTCTTTACAAAAGCTGTCTTTTCCCATCACCATCTCGATCAGAACTTTAGAAGATAGTGTCCTGACATTGCAGCAGACAGTTTACGCTGGTGTCGCTCGCAGCCGACACTGCTGCATTTGTGTCAGACATTGTTCTGCATTAGCCATCAGCAAGTGAGGACAGAAAGTAATTTGGTTTATTTCAGATTCAGGTTTTAACCTCTAAAAGGATAAGGTTTAAAAGAATATATAAACCTGTCCTTAATTCTAGTCATTTGTTCACAAGAGGGGTAGGATGCAGAACTGGTGTTATGAAAAATTGATAGACTGTGGAGTATGAAACTCAGAATTATTTGTGGAAATTAGTGCCCTATCCTCACAGCTGACCCAGCTGGCCTGGGTAGCAGGAGACAGGTCCCTGCAAGAGCCTGCGTGTACCCCAGACAGCTTTTCCTAGGGGATTCAGTTTTCCTAGCTGCAGACTGCTGGAACTTTGCTGAAGTTTGCAGATATAAGAATCTATCCCTAAATGTTAAAGTCTTCCTTCAGTTTACAGCAAGAAAAGATGTGTTTGTAGGGCAGGGCCAACTTATGTTGTTGTAACCCAAATAAGCATTTCTTCTGGTGCTTCCCACCTTATCCACATACCAACTATCCCCCTCATTCCCCAAAATATTAAGCTGTTCTCTTCCTGATAAACTTTAAATGCTTTTAAATTTGTCTTAAGTAAACACATTTTTTTTGCTCCCTGAAATAGAATCTGGATAAGTCCAGAGTTACCTTAGTCCAGCATCTTTTTGTTATGGTAGAATATTTCTTTTAATCTTAAACTCTTTGTAGATGAGCAGCAAAGTGCAATAGACTATTTATTAGAAGCTAGGCTATAAAGTTGACTGTGGTTTAGGAATCACCTTTTCCCTTGATAACAAAATAAAATCCAAGCAGTTGCTGTCAGAGCAGCAGACAGGAGGAAATAGACTGTGCAGAGCTCGAAGGGGAGAAGACACAAGTAGCAGAGAAGGAACGATCCCATCCCCTTGAGAGTCACCAAATCATCCAGTGCCTCAAACAGCTTCCTCTAAGCCTGTCTGGATCCTGTCATGGTTCATGAAGAGCTGATTTGATGTTTTTATTTAAAAATCTATTATCAGGAGAAGATTCCTTCCTCAGATGAAGGCTGGTCTTGCAGTTTTTCAACTTATTGCAATAACTATTTCAATATATTATTCTGGGCAATTTTGTCTTATATTTCTATTGACTGTGCAAAGATTATCGTGCTAAATTATGGATTGCTCTCATATAGATTTATTGCTGCTGTGTACATTATATAAAGTGTGGGCTATAATCCGGTGGCTGCTTCCAATAATTCAGGTGGTCAGATCTGTGACTGAAGATTGGAGATACTTAACCATCCATAAAAGTGTGTTTAATTAACAATGTAGCACAAGTAGAGTCGGGGAGGAGGGTTGTGTGAGTGAATGGGATTACATATCACAATCATGCGTGCACTTGATAGTGGAGATTGTATTTTGGTTAATGAGGCTTGCTGGAAACAGTTGTTTGCAAGTGGGATTAATTTTAGAATCTTTAAAAAAAAATCAATTAAAAAATTAAACCAGGAGTACTTTGACAAACTGTCAGGGCTGTACCTGATTGAAATTAGAATATAACTCCCTGAAAGATACAGAACAGCCAGCACCGAGGCTGGGGCTAAACCCCTGCCCTGCAACGCTCTATAAAACCACATATTTTTTCAGTGGGCTCCCCACGAACCCTGTGAGAGAGCTGCAAGTGGCTCTGGACTGGCTCCAGTGCCTGCCTGGCTGGGTGTGTTGCTACCAGCAGTAGTAGGGTGCTGCTTTCCTATTTTCTTTCTGATTTTGTCAGCAGCACTACTTTTGCTTTGTTTCCCTCAAGGGTTTGTAGCTGCTAACTGTTACGCTGCTCACCCGAGCATCCTGCTCAGGTCCCCACATCTCCCAGCCAAAATTGCCTCTTTTTACCAAAACCCACCCAACCGTGTTATTTACATGTTCTGCTGCTGCTCCAGAGTGATACTCTGAAGATGGCTGGGTACCTGCCATCAGCAGCCAGGACAATCCTGGCTGATGGTCCCTGAAGGGCCAGCAGCAGAAGGGGTGGCAGGAGCTTCCTGCAGCAGGGTGGCCCTCCTTGGTGAAGGTGGCAAATGCCAGTGTGGGATGATTCAGCTGGAGTGCTGCTGGTTTGGGCAGGCGCAGGTTTCCTGGACTGGCAGTAGAGCTGTCGCTGGGGGCGTGGGCAGGGTGAAGGTGCTTCTGGAGCTGAGGACAAGGCAGAGGGCTGAGCCCAGATGTCCCTTGTTCTGGGAGCTGTGAATCCCATCAGCTGCCAGGCCAGGGAGGTCACACTCAGTCAAGGGTGTTTAAGAGCATCTTGGCATAGTCTGTGTGTGCATCTGAAATCCTGACACTCTGCAAGGCCCCAGGAGAGCCATCTCTCACCTGGCTCTCAGGTGTTGTGTGTGTGGTTGTTCAAGGCTCCACTTTATCCTATCTTATGCAAAGACCAGCTTTTCCCAGAGTGAAATACATAGGACTTACGGGTTAAATATCTGCAAGAAACTTCCAAAGAATATGAACAAGTTGAGGAACTGTTTCTCTAAATTAAATATAAAATCATAAAACTATATCCTTTTTTTAAATAGTACAAATAACTTTAAATCAAATTAAGGTACATCCTTAGTAAGAACAGCAGCCTTTTAGGTGGTTACAAACATTAGAGGTCAGACATGGTCAAACATGTTAACACTTTGATCAGATTAAAATATTTTTCTTGCTACAGTTGTATAATTGAGTTTAGACCTGAGGGGGTTTTCTGAACATTGTTATATCTTGTACTGTGTGGTAGTTAAATAGTAAAAGGAGCTCTTATAAGTTCCTTTAAGTTCTTTTTGTAAATAGGTTTGTAAAATAGGGGAATGAGCCATGCTGCCCTGTATATAGGGTACGAGGTCTCCCTGCTCCCATTAATGGGAGAGATGTGATGGGAGCTCCTCACACCTTCTGTGCACTTCAGATGTGTTTGGTGAGTGTATGAGGAATGTAAAAGCAGAATTGAAATGTTCTGTATGTAAACCTGAGTCACTGGACTTTCTGTGAGAAACAGAAGTGCAAGAGCCTATTTTTTTTTTTTGGAAAATAGACACTACCTCGTTTTCTTAATTACTAAGTTGTCAAACCAGAGCTTACATGGGAGCAGAAGAGTGGGGATGCCTCCCCAAGCCCCGCGCAGCTGAAGTCCCCAAATAAGACAGCAGGACTCGCAAAAAATGTTGCTTTTCAGAGCCTGGTCCCCATGGTCCGCTGGGCTCCTTGTTCAGAGGGTATGAAATTTCCCCTTGAGCAGGGCAAGATGAAAGTTCATTTACTGCTGGCCTGGGGCCACAGGGCCCAAATGTCTAACACGAGGTCAAAAAGCATGGAGTTACAGTCTAGAGCTGCTCTTCACTGGACAGAAGTTGAAGCAGCAGCAGCGGAGCCCCAGGACATGGCTGCTTCTGCTGTATCCCCTTCTCCAAGGCTGCTTCATCCCTCTGCAGGAGGAGACTGTGGCCCCACACCAGCTGGCGGAAGGAAATCTGCAGCTCAACTGCTTCTTCTGCCTTTCTGTCCTGACTTGCACTGTCAGGGCAATAGTTTAATATTGCTTTTTCCTGTGTTAAGTTCTGATCTTGTTGAAACCAGTGGAAAAACTCCCCAGAGTCACCATGTGATGGGGATTTGTCGCTGTGAGAGGACTGCTGCATCCCATCCCTCTCCAGATGTTGCATGTGGAGGGAGGAAGGAGGGCAGCTGGAAGTCAACAGTAGCTCTTTGTGTTCCCAGCAGTGGCTGCTGCTGTGGGAGAGCAACATCCTAGTCAGGTTCCTTGGCAGCAGGGCTTGCACTGCAGGACCTCACCAGGATAGTCCCCTGTCCCCATGAATTGTTATATTCCCAGCAGAAGGTATTAGGAGTGTGGTGGCTGTTGATGGACTTCCTGGCAGACAGACAGATGAGTAATTTGTTCCCTCCTGATGAAAGCAAATCCACTTCTTTCAGCTCTTCTACCTAGCTTGAAATAAGATAATGGTGAAAATAATATTTTATGTTAAAACACAATTTTGGATACATGGATGTACCAAGGCACAGGGCTTACGAGGTCATTTATTGCATGTCTGAGTCAGTCTTGGTTTCCCCCAAGGAAAATTCTTGTGTTAATTTCTGAGTTCATATCACACCCTCAATTTTGAAGCAGAACTTCCCTTTGAAATAAATTAGAGAGTTCTACTTAAGAAGCAGCGACATGATACAGCACTGGATGTGTGTGGTCTAATA